TCTGATCGTGCGCGCACACGAATCACAATGATGTAATTTCCAGCATTAGCATTTACACTCAAACATAAAATGATAATTTGGTTGTGTTGACGTCAGTTTGTAAATACTTCCCTTTGAATTAAATAATATGCGTATTCCTATCTCATCGAAAAAAGAGACTGGTACTTGCTATGGATCCTCATCAGCTCTACTAAAGCTGGGTAACAGTTCCCCATAGAGAATTTTTGCTAAGTGGATTGCAATCTCTATCAGTCTGTGATGTCTAGTAGTAGTTATTGATGCTGACGTCATCGGTGCGTCTTAATGTTTTTCTAAAAGTCGAAACCTTCCGTGATGTTATTTTTTTACCTTTTCCAATTGTTTTCTTATGTAAGTGTGCGAAAAGAAAGAAAATACAGTGCTAACATTTTGAATTTACTCTTGTTACTATGGTGGCGCATACGGCAGTGAGAATAATTTTCCTAAACGCCAATTTGTAAGCAGGCGACGCTCGCTTGTTTTGATTCATTTGCAGATGTGGTGCTAAGATATCAATTGCAAATTATCCTCGAAATGAATTAAAAAAGAGCCACGCTTGGAAAAGCCATAAGTGAAGATAGTTTAAACTGTGTTTTCATCAATTATTATGAGGCTTTTAGAGACTTTTTAAGGATTCAGTGACTGTTGATTAAAACCATCTAATAAAAAAATCAATCAATCAAAGAAAAACCATTCATGTGAGCAGTCATGATTACAATTTTTCAATCAACTGTTGTAATTATGAGAAACTCAACGAGGTAGTATTTCGTATGTAAACAATTTTAATCATGTTTTTGCTGTCTGATTGTCAGATGATGGTTGATTCTTTTTCTCTGCAGTTATTTCTTCTGACTTCGAGATGGATCGTGTGCTGAAGGTCACCGAGAACTGCCGGCTGTGACTACGGTAACCATTTCCCCAAAGGTCGGTGGATCTATTGCAGAAAGTTTGTTGTGCAGTTAAAAGATAAGTGCGTGGTGAGACTCGGTCTTGTTTGTGCTTTTGCCTCTTTGGGCAAAATAATAATTTGAAATTTCTCTCGTATTCTTACAAATGAATTATCTCATATGCCATCTAAATTTTCAAATTAAAAAGAATGGCCAATCAAAAGCAAGAAACAAGGCGAACAAATCCCATTTATAGGTTCTGTAAATTTCGGAAATTTTCTGAAATGTAATTATGGAAACATTTTTTCTCAAAAGGTTGGTTTCCATGAGAACCTTTCGATAATCATAAATCTGAATAAAGGATAAGAAAAATACAAGCCTCTGTATGAAAACGTTTTTCACTTGAAAGAGAAACAGGTGTTGGGGCATAATTAGCTACGATAAACAATGTATGTTAAATTTTTCTCATCGACACCCATAGGAATAAGAAGGGGAATCACTACATTTGAGGAAAACAAGATTTAACTCATTCAGATAAGATTGTACATCAAACCAGCACCATGAAACGAGAGACCATTTATACCTTTTGGACGGAGAGAGTTACAGGTGTAGGGTTTCGTCAAGGCGAATCAGAAAAAGGGGATGATTACCCGACGTCAAGAGAAATATGGGAGGAATTTGTGAAGAACACCACGCTACAGGGCACACGCTATGCCTTCATGAAATGTCGAGCCATGTGGTCTGTCTCTGCTTTGCCTTGTCTTACCAAATCAATTTTTAAATACAACCAGCATTCTATCTATTTGCACGAGTCAATACAGACAAGATTTGTCAAACGCCTTGAAGCTTGAGTCTCATCGTTTGGATACAGAAGAATTCCTTCAGCTATACAGTCCAGATATCAGCGATTCTATTGGACCATTTTGCTCATTTGGGTGGAAAGAGTTCCCTTGCTCGACTGATGACTTTGTTCCCATAGTGACTGAATAGGGCATGTGTTATACCTTTAATTAAGGTATTAGTAGTAGGGTGAAAAGAGTAGACACTGCTGGTGTTTCATCTGGGTTATCAGTCATTCTTGATGCTCAAACACATGAGTATACTCAAGGAAAATTTTCCAAAGGATTCAAAGTGTTGATCCACGGGCAGGATGAGTACATCGATGAATGGGAAGGAATCAGTGTAGGACCAGGACAACATGCCGTTATTGCTCTTTCACAGACGAGGGTATGGTTATTGTTACTTTGAATAATTTCAATCCATAGTAATTGCATCAACGTTACCTAAATTGTGCTTTTTGAGCCGATGAGTGACATTATGTGAGTTTGATTTGATTTCTCTTTCAATCCGGATTTTAGTCAAATAATGTCTTATTTTGATTTTTTTTCTATTATAAGCACAGGATACAGAAGGTAAGCCAGGCAAAGTAACAATGTAAAAGTTATCTTTAATTTTTTGCCATCAAGTGCTCCACGGATCCCGACGTGTTCAACTCCAGAAGAGAAACGCTGTTATGAGTCTCATGAATTATGTGAGCGACCTTTCCTTTGTCATGTTGTGATTTGGCTCTAGCGCATTGGAACGTAAAATACAAATTTTATCGATTGATTAAAGCTAAGCCTAACGGTATCAGTGTTTGGTTGATGTAGATAAAAACTTATACAGTAAATTATATCGACGAAGAATTCTATGACTGCCAAGTTCCCTGCTCTTATACTAAGTACACAACTGAGGTGTCGTATTCCAAATTTCCGGATCATTGCACCACTGAAATGATGATTGTGGAAGGCTATTATGATTATGTGCAGTACCAGAGGTAGAAATTGTTAAAAACAAAACAAAACAAAAAATGGATCTAAGATGGAACAAAGAACTTTGAAATGATATTGACCAGCATGTCAGTGTGTTATTGGTTATAGTTCTACAAAATTCAAAATCAAACTGTATCAATGATTTGATGTCGTGATACACATATACTTCTGTATGAATTGTGCTTGGACATACGAAGCGTCAGGAAACCATTTTGAATTTTCCCCTCATCGATTTATTTAGTTCTATAACGTGTTTGAATTTTTAACAAAGATAAACTTTTTCAGGTGAAATCAGTATCAATATGGGATTTTTTCAGGCCTTAGTCTCCTGACCGTATGCGAGGTCTCCTCGTCAGTTTGGTTATTAAAAAATATTGTTTTATTTTGAAATTTTCTAAGATCGATTAAATTGAAGGATCGGAAAAATTTGTTGATATGATATTTTTTAATCTTTTAACAGAGACAACCTCGTGTTTTTACAAGTTGGATTCAAATCACTGAGTTATGAAAAGCATGAACAAAAACCAGCTTATGATTGGATCGCTATGTTCGGTAAAAACGTATTCTCACTGTTGACGGAGTAAACACTAATAAACACTAATTATCACGTATTCTTTAGTAAATGCCCAAGTCATATGTAAAAAATATATATATCTCCGCAAATGGCCCCCTCTTTTTTGGCCACTTATCTCTGTACTCAAGATAACTGTTGTAAAGAGGTTTGTCCGCACAATTAAATGCTTTATTATTATTATTTTTTTAGGTGAAATCGGTGGTAATATGGAATTATTTCTAGGTTGTAGTTTGCTCCACGGGCTCCACATCCAGCGTACTTAAGACTAAAATGTGCATCGAAAAGGATCACTACTCAGCAACGAATGTGTTCTCGAAAGAGCACGTGTAGAAGGTATCGAAATAACGCTAGTTATTGAAGTTGCTTTTGCTGTTTTGACCATGTTACCAAGATTGATGACAGCAAACAAAGGATGCAGTGACCTGACGCGATATCATGGAAAGTTCTCTTAAATGTGGGGAAGATATTCATCACTCAAGACAGAGTTCTTTCTTTTTAAACACGCTCTTTTAACAACCAATTGGGCTCCGAGCTTTGTAAGTCACATTCCATGAGCTGTGGTCCTACGATGTGCATGCTTTGCGTGCTGCGAGCTCCGCTACTTCGAACTTCTGAATAATCCATTTTCTCACTTTAAACTGAAGCCAATAAAAAAGCTCTTATGTAAAAAAGGTTTTTTTTATTTGTTTGAGAAGATAAAATCATTTACAGACAAAAGGCTTTACACTTAGCCTCGCTTAAAATTAGAGGCTTTGAGCTTATCGAAAATTGCCTAATTGAAAAAAAAACATAAAACATTAGGTAAAACAGTGCGAATGTTTATGTCCTATATTATATTTATGAAAGCCTAGCAACAGCTCAGAATAACGAATAAAAGACCTTCAGAATATTATTATAGGTCTCCCTTCTCTGATATGTCGGTAAGAGCTTATTCAAGTGTTTAGGGTAATTCATATTTAAGCGAAACAACCAAATTATATTTTTGTCGTAGTTTAACGTGCCCCTAGATTTCGAATCTATTATGCAACTTTGATTGTTCTGTTGTTCGGTACTTGTTTCAACTGGGTATTGATGTGATTTGTGTGTACAGCTGCCAAATATGAAAAAAAAATTTCGAAAAAACTTACTTTCTGAAAGCGAAAAAAAAAGGGTAAGTCATCGAGATTTAGATACAGATTGAGCTATAGTTTAAGAATACAATCACTCCATTGCTGTTTTTACTTCTCTGAATGTACAATCAAGTGAAGATTTCTCGTCAAGGAGAATTTCAATTACTGTGTACGCCCGAATTCTAACTGCACAAGGCCCCAGAGAGTGATAGCAAGGTACCTGTCTGTTATTATGCTTTTGGCATCCATTTAATTTGAGATACAAGTAGGTAATTAATCAAATTGATGTCTTCTTATCACTGGGTATTACAAACTCTTGAGCCCGCGATAATAAATGTTTTTACTAAATTTCATTTGGAAAAAAATTTCTTGGAAAAATCGACGGAAAAACTTCTTGAAATGATAATGCATGTATTTGGCTATGATCTATGAATTCTAATCTGGTTATTGGTAAAAAGCCTTTAGTGCGCAGTCAAAATAAACAAAACTATTTTTCGTTACCAACGTTATATGAGTCTTTCGGGAAAATTGCATCCTTAATTTGTAAAAAGATCAACAAGACAAGTCCTTATTAGCTTTTACATCAAAGACATCTGTTCTCTCACGACGCGTAACGTCCACCGCAGCCATGGATTCGAAGGTTAGTTTTCTTCATATTAATCTGCAATCGATTTAAATAAGTTTGACAAGAGTAATATTTTTAATCTTCATCGTATTTTTATTTCACATATAATTACCGCCTCGAAAAAGCACTCCGCACCTAATAATAGCTCCTTTGATTCATTTATGCTTCTGTATAGTCCCTCTTTAGTCTTCTTGACAAGCTTCAAAGTATCTATGGTCACGAATTTTACTGAAACGTTCAACTTAGTCAGGCAATTATGAGCCCTGAGTCACCGCTCCAGCGAGGAATTCCCAGCCTAACTATCATTTGGCCGCTTTAATTGTACTGGAATAAAAATAAAGACAGAAGGTAACGTTCTTACAATCAATGCGTTGAAAGTTAAATACATGCCACCTAAAGTCACAATAGATGATCTTTCCTCTGTTTATAAAGCGAAAAGCAGATTTCAATCATCCACCTCCAAGGACTAATAATGCCTTTTTTTCATTCTCTAAAGCACAGAGAAAAGTTGTAGGCCCTTTTGCTTTAATTAGAATTCAAATACGATCAGCTATCGACAGCGTAGCTCTCTAATTTGAGTTGTTTAGCAAGGAAAAGTTGCACCCAATTTTTTCCTAGTTCATACCAATCAAATCGTACGTTCAAATAAAGTTGTTTGAATGAGGATTCGCCTTGAGTCAGTCATTTGATTTTCAATAACTTGCGAGAAACACGCAAAACCGCATGTAATAAATACGAAAAAGCAGCTGAAGGTTGATATAAGAATAACAAGGAATACAACTACCCTCAAATTGGTAAGAAGTCACATATTATTCGAAAAGAAGTCAACTTCATTTAAGAAATGGAAATTATTTTTAAAGAAGTGTTTGCTCAGCTGCCTGTGTAATGTGATGCCTTTGTTCCCCTCAGTGCTATCTTATTATTGGATGCAACTCCCGAGCTGCAATATATGCAACCATTGGTTTTGCTTCATATTTCGGGGTGTGACAAGTCCATATTAATTTGGGCTGGCATCTATCTTGTGTCTTAACCCCAACCCGCAATGGATAAATAATAATTCCTATAAGTATTAAAATGATATGAAATAAGATAATGATAAAAAAATATATTATTCTTGCTTTGCCTTGCATTCTTTAAACAAAAATTTAAATTCCTTCCGTGAAGTTGATGGACAAAACAATCTAGTTATAGATTATTCGTTACTTACAAATTTCATTGCACTCTGTCTAAACCTTTTCATTGATGATACCAGGTGTTATGATGAAAGTTTTCGTTTATAGTTTTTTTACGACAGACCTCACGCCGGCAAGTAACGCACAACATACATAAAAAAATGTAAACAAGAAATATCACTGCGACGCAAGAGAAATGAACCGGTCCCTCTTTACAACGGTCGAGTAGATTCGAATTTCTCAGATTTTTCTTTTATTGTCATTGTGATCGTCACAATGATGTAGATCCCCAGAATAGTGGATACGGTCCAGGGGAGTTGATATTATCATGAAACTTTGCTTCTTACATACTTACTCGAAAAAAGATCGAAATTGAAGTCACTGCTGCTGCTGGGGGCTCTGGATGGCACCTATCAGGTGGAGTTTGCTTGTTGTGATCCTTTAGATTGTGTCCTTCTCTTAATGCCGGGGGGAGGCCCTGACTCTCTGTTGTAAGACTTTTAAAAGATCTTAAGAAGTAGCCTAATTTATATGCATCGAGGCTGTTCTGAGCCTGTTTTCTGTCTGAATGGCGAGTTTACTTCGCTATTATAGGCTTATCTTATGCTCTTTTCCTCTCTACCACAGCATTACCGGTGTCTTCACTCGACCCTTATTTACATGATATATGTTTGGCTCTAGATGTGTGTACAAGGACGTTGTATTAAGCCCTGAAAGTCCATTGATTTTGTTTGCCTTCAGTCTTACACATTCTTCTAGGAGCGCCAAGGGTTCAATTTAGGACTTGTTGATACCTTGCATGGCTGTTCCAGCCTTCAGCTTGGCTAAGTTACCATTATATTGAGCGTTTTTCTTTCAGAGATGAACAGATGAGCGGCTGTTAAATCAGAGTTAAATAACGATATCTTTTCAGAGCTCAGCATTTTGTCCTTATGCTTTTCAAGAATGAATTGGGGATAATCTTAATGTAAAATGTTGAACTTCTTATTATTTTATAAGGAGGAAACTCATTTAAAGATCTGTATGACCCGTGATAGGTGGATTTTTGTCGAATAAAATCCACTTTATCGGATAAGGGATTTATCTAATGAAGTAAGCTTTTCATTTTTCATGTCATTCTTCTTTCACTTCTACCTTCCTTAGCAGGATGAAATAAAAGCAACAATATCAGACATAAATGTGAAATCTACTTCTATGACTGGGCACTCTACGGGGATTTCAGCGACAAAGATGCAAGAAAAGAAGCTTTCCCAGGAATTAACTAAAGTTGGTAACGATAATACCCAGACATCGACAGTGATTTGGAGGGAATTTGTGGACAGTACAACACTTCACGGCATTCGATATGTCTTCATGAAGCGTCAGATCTTTATTCGCCTTATCTGGATGATATTGCTGATGAGCTCTGGGGGTTATTATATCTTCACCGTTTACGGCGGTTTCACTAAATACTACGGTAGACCAGTTACCACTTTATTAAGCAGAAAACGCCTAAGAGAGATGGATTTTCCAGCTGTAACGATCTGTCCACTCAACTTATTCACCAAAAGTAAGATATATATGACAGATGATGATCCACTGTTTGCGTCCAGCGGCCTAAACATCAGTACATGTGCTGTGACTGCAGAAGCTCGAGGCAATTGGTCTTGCGGATTGTCTATACTTTGTTGTTGCTCCCCGGCAGATTTGGAAAATGATTTACCACTTTGCGATAGTCATTATAGACAAGTTCTCTTAGAGGTGATGCGGCAACATTCTAATCGCCTAAATGTTGAAGAATTTTTTCGGCTCTACGGCCAAAATTCAAGCGCTATGATTGGACCATTGTGCACATTCGGCTGGGACGAGGCTGATTGCTCTGCCGCAGATTTTGTCCCCTCAGTAACCCCTTGGGGTATGTGCTTCACCTTTAACTCAGGTACAGACAATGAAATGAAAATATCAAAAATTGCAGGAGTTTCATCCGGGTTGTCAGTCATTCTTGATGCACAAACACCAGAGTATACTCAAGGAAAATTTTCCGAAGGATTCAAAGTGTTGATACATGGGCAAGGTGAATACATCGATGAATGGGAAGGTATCAATGTAGGACCAGGACAGCACGTTGTTATTTCTCTTTCTAAGAAACAGGTATGTTTGCTTGATCACTTAGACCCAAGGAATCTTTTTTATGTTGAGGTAGAAATGTAACTTAGGGTTATTAGAAGCCAATTCAATACATTCTCAACGTAGACGAAGAAAGAACGAAGCAGAAGGCACACAAAAAACCACAACAAAAATAGTTTAGATATCAGCAACAGAACAGTAATACAAAAATATAAAGTCAACATTTAGGTGTAAAACAAATAAGGAAAAGTTTTTATGGTAACATTTTAAAATTGACATGAACAATGTTTCCAGTATCAGAACCTTGAGAAGCCATACGCAGCCAATTGCACCAAGAAGGAGTTGAATACGTATTTTACGTACACGACAGAAGGATGTCTTTTTGAATGTATGGCTGACAACGTTATCAGTTATTGTGGCTGTCGACCTGCTGGTTATAAAGGTTAGTAAATTTTTTTTCTACTCGTCTTATCGAACTTAAATTTAAAGAAAAAGTACGCGATTCAACTTAATTCAATCCAGTTCAACTAAGCCTTCTCTTGAAATCTGAACAAGTGAGTATTATCATCTTCCTATCCTACATAATCGAGTTATTTTTGGCTGCCTTGAGAATTCTTTCTAATAACTACGTGAAGAACATTTAGTATATAAATTACGGTGTTTTAAAAGGATTTCCAGCCTTGAGAAAAGCCGCAACAACACACGTGAAAAATATAGTATTTTTTCAAGTGTTTGATATCACCAATCAGCAGCTGACACGTCACTCGCTTTTCGCGCCACTCGATTTGATTGATGAATGAACGGCAAAGCCTTCACCATTCTTAATCCAAGGTCGTTTGTCGGAATTTTTCGGATTATGGCTGCTAAAACACTGAAAAACCCGTGTCGCTTACAGACAGTGACGTTCAAACTTTCCTGAAAGAAGAAGAAAACCAAAATACGAAAAGGAAACCCGAAAATTACATATTCAGTAACTTTGGTAATGGCATCTCTCGCGGCTGAGAACGAAAATCGACCACTGGAAGATTTTCCACTTTTTAAACTTTGGAAAAGGAAAATAGTGACTTGTGCGTGTGCTTTTTCTATAAGTTAACTCTGGAACACCCGCGTGTATATCATCCGAAGAGGCTCTTTGCGTTAAGCAGATAGCAGGTAAGACAAAACTTTAAAATTAAGGTATCCGAATATACGCCCTGCAACAAGCGTCGAGGAAAAAGCACCTTAGCTAGCAATTTGAAAAAACTCATTACATTTCAGGTCGTAATGCAAGACGGTCAAATAAAAAAGAACGAATCAGTTGAGCTGAGATGTTATCAACTGAGTTGATAACACTAAATTACTCTGTTATACTCTCCCACCAACGCAGTACTCCAGTTAAGGAGCCATAGATCTAGCTCTTGTAAATTTCACTTGTGACATCGAGTCTTGCTTATATACTTCTCAGTTACTTTTATGCATATTTACACAATATTTACACGAAAGATCTCCCTGTCATATTAAACAGACTTGTCTGACATTACACTCACCAGTATTTAAAGAAAAAAACGTCTTATGTTGACTAAGTATTCTAAGATCAGCAAACGTTGTAAACAAACTTGTTTATCTTTTTTTAACTATCGTGCATTTCCATAAAGCAATGGTAGATGAAGAGTACTGTGACTGCCAAGTTCCCTGCTCTCAGATTAAGTACCATCCTGAAGTGTCCTACTCGAAGTTTCCTGATGCGAGTACTGCTGACTCACTCATAAAGTCTGGTTACTATGCCGATATACAATACCAGAGGTAAGGGATCTGAGTTTAAAAAATTAATAATTGCCCTGCCCTTTGGTTTTTTAGTTTTAACTGTATTTTCTGAAATTTCTTCTAAACCATGTACTCTTACGGAGGGAAAATCTAAACTACAAAATTTACGATGTATTAGAATAGAAGTCATCGTTTTGTTCACAATAAAATGGCTAAACTTGTATTTGTCCGTCCACTGAGCTCATAAGTTAAGAGCCAATTGTCACAGTGTATCGCAGTTATTTCTAAGTTTCCGTATTTCGCAAATTCAATAAAATCAAAAAAAAGTCAGCTGTAATGTTGTGCCAAGAATCTTTTCTCTTATAGACTTGCACAGGTACACAGTAGTAATCCGAAATGTAAACTATTACAATCCCCGTGAAGGTGGTCTAAAAAAATCCGTTAGTGGTAGCATATTAATTGTTTGAACGTTTTCCCCCCTCGTCAGAGATAATCTTGTGTTTTTACAAGTTGGATTCAAGTCTTTGAGTTATGAGATGCAGGAACAGAAGCCAGCTTACGACAGCAATTCCTTGTTTGGTAAGAAATGCATTGGTTATGCGATGGCAGCCATATTGATAATTGCGGAAACATCGCAGCTTATATTCTTATAATTTATGGTAAGGCCCCGGTAACTGTACACTTTAAGTAGGCGACCATTTAAGGATCTTAACCCTGTTTTCAGGAAAAGAAAAAGCCCCGAATCTATCAAAACTTTTGCTGAGCCAATTTTAGGAATATACATAATTTTTTTTTCTCGTAAATTAAATTCCGCTAGCTTGCAGGGTGTAATCAGAATTTTCCAATTTTCCACCCACAGATGACCAACCTATTGTGTGTACATTCAGACTGTGTTTTATCAACATTCGGGGTAGATTTTTTGCATTCACGCTTTGTAGTTACTTGAAGTATCAGGCTTGAATAAAAATACTCCTAAAAGGAGCTCCTCTACAAGCGAGCAAATGGTACCTGAGGCTTAGTGTGGAAACGTAAAATTCTGGCAAAAATCTGTTCCAACGTCAAAGGAATATTCGCATTCCCATTAATTTTTCTTTCCTTAGGTGAGATTGGTGGCAACATGGGGCTCTTCTTGGGATGCAGTCTCTTGACCATTTGCGAGTTTTTTGACTTCCTCATTAGTTTTTTAAATGCACGAAACCGTCGCGTTACTCATCCATAACAAATGCTTTGGACTGAACAAATCTTTTAAAGATTATTGCGTGACATAGTAACAGCTGCACTAAATTCTGATCACAAACTAAGATGAAACAAGGCAAGAATCATTTAATTGTGAATTTCTGGTACCCTGTCAAAGTTATAACCTTTTTTACAATCATTTGAGTTTCAAACCTTTACTATTGTTTGAGCATTACAGCTTACTTTGTTTGTGTGAAGCTAATCGTGTTTATTGTAGTTGAACTCGTTGTAATGTAGTTTTGTCCATATCGAGCAAGTAAAACTGAAAATAGATACAGCCCAATCCTAAGATCTCCATGAACATTTAGAATCCTAAATAACACCGTTAAGTAACCTTAAACTGTGCAAATTTTAATTGAGTTTGTTACATCTTTGTTTTCTTGGTAAAAATTGGTTAAGCAATCTATGCTAATTAGAAATGATAAACACAATTGGTTGCTCTGAATCTTTTGGTCTCCGCTAATTTGGTAATCCACCCCAACAAAAGTTATTTTAGTTATTAAGCCGTTTTTATGAAAGAACGTGGTGCGAACAATTGGAACTGATTCGCTTACTTATGGTGTCTTTTTCGGTGACTTGTCAATTGGCAGGATAGGAAAGGATAACTTTGAGTGATATATCTAAACATTTCTGGTGAAAAAAATTTAAACCACTGGATTTAAAACATAACCACATACAGAAAAGGGGAACAGGCTAGAAAATGGAACTCTTACAGTATAGCTAAGTTTATCCAAGAGAATTACGGGACCATTACTTCTCTTGATTATTAAGTTTTAACTGATGAGACAAAGTTTGACACAGCTGCTTTAAGGTACCACAATGAGACACCTGAATACTCAGCAGGTATGCAGAATTTATGTTTATTATTTTCCCTTGTTTTGATTCATAAAGAGGATGGCGTACTTTCGCATGGGGACTTTGATAAGGTGGAATGAATGCGAACATCTGGAACTTAGCATTGTGATTAAGGACATTTAAACCCTTGTGCAACAAGCCCTTTCAGGGACCCATTGTTTTGTAACAGCCTTCTTTAGACCAGTCCCACTAGTCGAAATTTCGAAGAAAGCAGTCTATTAAAAGATTCAGTCGTAACGTAAGACGTAAAAAGTATTCATGCGATTCAACGTTTTGGGATAAGGGATCAACGTAGTTCTTCAAAAGCTGAAATTTGAGGACGCAATTTATTTGCTTTATATTTCTTAGGACTGGTTGCAATAATTGGTTCCATCGGCAATGGATTGGTGGTGACCGTTGTTACAATTCTCCGCCGAAGAGGACATAAGTCTAATGTTCAGTTGTTTCTTTTGCACTTGGCCATCTCTGATCTGATGGTGTGCTTGATGTGTATTCCTCTGACTCTTTTCAGCAATTTCCACTACCCAACTAAATACAGCTCCATTGAAAACGGAGCTTGCAAGTTTTCACGATTTGTACAGGTACTTTAGCTTAATCAACTTACATGAAACTAAAACGAGGATAGATCGGAGCTAATTCTTTCATTGTGCCTACCAATCGCCGTGTAACATGAAAGTAACGTAATTGTTGCTCTTGCCTCACACCTTTGCAGTAAACTTAATATTCATAGAAATAATTGCTAGTTTTGTTAATGATTTATTTTTCATTTTTTTCTGCAGTACCTGACTCCAACCGTTTCCATCTCTCTCCTAGCAACTATAAGCATTGACCGCTACATGTCCCTGGCAAGACCTATGGCCTCCATTGCCTTGCGACCAAAACTTCTTACACCATCTTGGATGATTCTGCTCGCGTGGCTCTACTCAGTAATGCAATTTACACCAACATTTTACTTCACTGATGTAAAACCCATCACAGTTGAAAAAAACAAGACAGTGTATTACTGCACCACAGTGCCAAACAATAGTTTATCTGGATTGGCTTATTTGATGTTTCTTGCAGTGGCATCTTTTGTGTTACCTTTGGTAACCATGAGCATCATGTATTACAAAGTCTCACGAGTTGTGTGGAGGAGACAAAGGAACCTTTCTATTTCATCCACAATAAGTGCAAACACCGCTCATCTTAGTGTGTTGATACAATCGAGGAGAAGAGTCATTCGCGTTTTGCTTACGGTAGTGTTGGTGTTTCTGATATGCTGGTCACCATTTGTGATCTACTGTGGTTTTCTTGAGAAAACACTCAAGGGATTCCCTAATCCTATGGATGGAACTAGGCTGGCACTGTATGGCCTGGGTCTTCTGAATTCAATGTGTAACCCTTTTATCTATTTTTTCAATGTTGGAGGAAAAAGAAATGATGCTTTGAAAGATTTGTATCTTCAGATTTATAGTGAAAATAAATCGCGGCGTTCGTCAACAAACAGTCAAGGAGGAGAGAGGAAGAGCTCTCGCAAATTGCAACAGTTTCGACTAAAAAAGATGGACAGGGAAAATTCGGTAAAGAATAAACTTGAAAAGAACAGTGAAAAAAATAGAAATAAACTAACTGATTTTCAAATTCGAGAAAGCATGGAAGAACTATGGCAACCATTCAGCGTATGGCCACCAATTGGAGATCTTCGAGAGTCTGTGTTGTAGCATTTTCCTAAAACTGAAGTCAGCAACCGTAATTTAAAGATTGAGACTTCCAAATCTGTGCTTTTTATCTTTAAGGGTTTATTTTTAGAATTAAAAATTCTTAAGTTGTTAATACTGCCTTTTACACGTTGTACTGCATATTACTTATTAGAGGAAAGGAAGTAGTAAAAAAAAAATTTCTAATTTTGTCCTCATAAAAAGTCTCTTTATCTTTGGACTAAAGAAACGGCAACAGACGCTTTCCATCGAGCCGGATGAGTTTCTCGACTTTTTCTTCTCCTCGTCAGAAAAGTCAGTAGAAAGTCGAAAAAAGAGGAGCGGCCTCTAGATTTAATATTGTAGAATTTCTATGTCTAGTTTTCTGTGGGTCACTGTAACTCAGTTCCTCGTCAGTGATACGTTGGTTTGAATATTTCGTTTGAATTGATGTGAAACAAGCATTCCAATGATGTCAAGGTATTTTAATCAGGGAGCACACATTAACCAATGTATGAATGAGGCTTCAAAGCATCTATGATATGACAACCTGTAGGTAAGATCGCTACTGTTAGAGTACTTACTGTTACTTACGGATCTCGTTATTTAGGTAGTCTTTCTTTCTTCAGGCGAAGCGCACAAAGGAGCTAAAGGAACACCTTGAATTATAAAGTAAGAAAGTGAGTAGGATTAAAAAACAACAACAACACCAATTAACAACCAACCAACCAAACAAACAAACACATAAAAGAAACAACGAATACCGATAGATATAGAACAAAGAATCAAACAGGGAAATCCTTGAGCCGCTTTCGAATGCGTTTAGTTTAGGGTCATGGTTTTGAGTTTCACGAGCGTTTGAACATGAACTGTCATACACTATCATCAACTATCATGTAGTTTGGACGTTTTCAACTTCAACATGATAGCTGATGAAAGTTTTTGCCGTTTGTACGAGCGAATGATAGTTTTTCGGTCAGCAGGTTTTGCCAAAAAACAGGCTCAAACCGAAATAGCAACCATAAAAATTTCTTCGAATGTCTCGTATTCATCCTATTCATCTCCTGGTAGGCCTCAGTATCTTCAACTCGCAACTTCTTGACTAAAATTTCAAATACCACCGAAATGACTGACTTTAGTGCGCGCTATACTTGTTTAGAATTACGTGATCTCATTACGTGTTTTAGTCAACTATCATCAACTATCATGAACCGTTTGTGCGCAAACATGACAGTCAATAATAGTGAATGAAAGTTGAAGCTATCATCGACTATCTTAAATTATCATGACCGTTTGAACGGGGCCTTAGTTTCTGTTTTTGGATACTTAATACCTTTATTCTTACAAATATTTTTTAACTATAGAAAGAAAAGACGCCAAGGTCGAGCGATGAAACTAGATGAAATGATCTTATTTTGTAGTTTAATTTGAACTGTTTTTTCCATATGAACAGGGTTAGCACTGATTTGCTAGTCTATCTTTCTAAAGGTAGAGACACACTTGATCACGATCCTACCTTTATGGCCTGGAAGTCGACAGCCACAAACCTCAGCAATCTGTTGGTCCTCACATTCTTCAATGCATCCCGCCATTGAATATGTGGAGTATGTTCTCAGTGTTTTACCAGTGTACATTGCATATAGCGCTTCTAAGTTCCTAAATAGAGAGAAAGTCGATCAGCTTTATTTAAAAAGATGATTAGAATTATCTATTTCACGTCCCATTGATAAAGAATAATTAAAATTTATTTGAATCTTTTTTCATTTATTTTCACAATACAGATACCACAGTCCTAACATCAAGTCTAACACTGATTAAATTGCTTAAATACCTTGCAATACGCTTAGAGGGTAGACTAAATTATCATCTTAAGTTCAACTAAGTTAGCAAAAGACACATCCCGTTAATTTGGGAGTCTGGTTTCTTGTAAGATATTCCCTTTATTCAAAGACCTATTATAACTAAGATATCGAACTTACTCTTTTCTGTACAAGGCCGATAAGCACACGTTATCCTGGGCCCACATAAACTCCTTCAAATTCATCAAAGCACACCCAATATCCACGGACCAATACTTGAATTTTTCTGAGCTCTTCCCATAGGTATACTCGTGTTTTTGCATACGAGTATGTCTATAGTATATACATATATATGTTATTTGCCGGCTGGGAGGTCCGTATGGTGAAAAACTGTGACCGAGTTCTTTAAAATACAGCATTTTCAAGACCGAGGTCACAGTTTTTCACCATACGGACCGACCCTTAGCCGGTAAATAACATACTTATTTTTTTGAAACTTGACGAAATTCTTTCCGAAAGAACCCGAATGATTTAGGGCGGTAAATACGGCAAGATCTCCCATAAACTGAACAGTTTTTTTAGCGAGTAAATGGTAGTTAAAATAGAGGTGATGCAAATTCAAGAGAGATGCCTCAGCGAAACATTTTCATTTCCGTAACGATAATTTAAAAGGCTTCCAAGAAAACTTTGAAACATTATTTTTACAAGTATCTGTCACAATCTGACACCCGTCAATTAGAGAGCGCGTAAGTAAAAAAAAAGCATAAGAACATTTGAAAAACAACGGAACTAGTTTGGCAGGGACTGTCACGACAATGTTTTCTTCAAAAACAGTCAATGATCTAACGGAAAGTATTATTCACTCTCATCGACGATTTATTCATGTACGAAGATTTACCTCTGTTCATTAAGTGAACGTCGAGGAAAGTAATTGTGAGTAAATTCAATTTTTTTATTTTGAAGTTGTGAGAGTTTGCCCGTTTGTTTGCTGCAATGGCGTGTGTAAATCTGGTCTTTCCTTCACAAAAACTAAATTCGAATGGCACACTCCAACGAGACACAAAGGGATTTAATGCGACCTTTTCTCAAAAAATTCTTTCAGTTTCTATTGTGTAACTTACTGTACAAATTTTCAAATTGAATGGACTTGGAAAGACTCGCCGAGATCGTTCATTTGTTTTAGAACTTAAATTAAAACTTCGCTCGCTCTTTCACTGCGTACAAATTGCTTGAGAAAATTCAGGTATTAAATGAATGAAAGTTCCATCGTTAAGTTTAACTGTAACCAAATACCTCACGTTTTAACTTTCTAGGTACTTTATGTGAACGATTAAAATTAATTGCAGAAGGGTTTTAGGCCGCTTGCCAAGCAACGTAATGACACTATTGTTCATACAAATTCATTCTGAAACCAATATTCTTCTGTCAACCAAAGTGATTTGAGTGAGAGAAAAGAGAGGATTCATAAGTTATTCATCGGCTTGAGGTAGTGACCGACGTCCTTGCTTAAAAATACTGCCCAGCCGGAAAAACGAGATATATTTATGAAAAATGGCAACGAAAGTTGGGATGTACTTGGCGACTCACGAAAGCGTTACCGTGGCCCAGGGGTAGAGATAGGAAAATACTGACCGGGTAAGGAACCAATCAGATTGCAAGATTCGTTATCGTACCCTCAAAAAAAAAAAAATTTAGATATCCAGTCAATGATTTGACTTCCTCATGGCATTGCTCAGATCATGTTTATATTGACTTGTAGAATTGGTACGAGACTGATTGAACCATTCTTGGTGAGCAAACACAAGGGTGATATTCCACACGGACGACTTTTCCGCACATGTGACGTCACAGCGCGTGAGGTAATATCTAAGCCTCTGGTGCAAACACTGAATATGTATCCTCCATGTGTATTTTGCTTTTGGCAAATAAGTTGAGACGATAAGTTATTGGACGAATACGGTATTCGCTAATAGCTCTGTTCACCGAAGAAATGTTATAACCACCAGAAGATAGCATCAACAACAACAACCACATCTTTTATAATTGCCTCAGTAAAATGAACTTGAAATAAAGAGAAAGGTCTTTTGACTTGGTTGAACTTTACGCAATGATTCAATGTGGTTGGTTCTTGTCCGCTAACTCAACGATTATCTTAATCAACAACTAGCAAATTTACACAGCGTCCTAATAATACTTTCTCTTCTCTCTTGGCAAAGCCATACGGTGAACTTGTGGCCCCGATTTTTCGTAATCAGTGTTTTTCCTGACAGAGCCAAGCGCTTGGTATGCACTTTGTACATGCTCGAAGAACTGAAGGTATGCAGTCGAATTGTGAGTCAGTTGAATCTCTCATTTATGATTCTCGCCAGCACGAACTAGAATAAGGCGATTGGATTTCCGTCTCACATTTTTATAATTTAAACCACCGTAACCTCGAACTTTTGTTTGTTCGCTCACACCTCCCCCTGAGTTAAACACAGTTTGCCAGTTCGTGACGGTCAAAACTAAGGATTCTGTGGTCCCAAACATTGAAAAATTACGTAAAGCGACTCTCCATCCGGCCCTTTATTGATTATGCATGGGTTAATTGGGGAGCAACCTCTCCGTGTAATTTTAAACGGGTCTTAAATTGCGGAAAGGCGCAGTCAGAGTGAGTCAATGGTTAGAGTTAGGGTTAAGAAAACTCGAGATGTTTCGTCCTCTGAACTCTTTGGCAGACCGGAGTAGATCACTTTAAACTGATTTCTTTGTAGATATACAAAAAAATGTTGCCCTGATTGTCTTTGTAGGTGAACCCAACGACAAAGATCAAAAAGAAGGAAGACCCTTGTGGAAGAGCAGGAATTTAAAGCTAATTGTCGGTTAGTACACTTTGTGTCAAAGCTCGATGCAAACTTTTAACGATTGCAAAAGAAGGTGAGACAAAAGTTTAAGAAAATTAACCCAAAATAAACAAAAGAAAACAATAGTTCTAAAACCAGAAAGGAAAGAAAAGAAAAAGAAAGCAAATTGAACTCCCAAAAAAATGGTTTTTAGTTTCCTTTTATTCATATGACTGAGTGCGTTTGCATTTTCATAATTAATACATTAAAAATAGTTGAGTTTAAGCTTGGATACGCTGGGTGAGAGTATCATTGATTGCCGGAGGTCATCATCAGATCCAAGAGTCGTTTTATCGTGCCACTGTACATTTAAGACATTTGAAATAAATTTCTTTTGATTTATGATATTTCATTGTTTTATTTTGCCATATTCAATAAGGTCAAGTGAGCTTCGCAAGAGCACATGCAGGAGAACTTCAGTTGTAAATCAAAACATAGGCATAGCTAATATAAATTTTGGAATGTCAGCAATACATTGCTTCATGGCAATTCTTCGGGCTGAGCTCTAACAGATTCCACATGAAAAGGCACATTCCGATCCATACGTTTCACAAGATTGCTCTTCAAAGGCCGCAAACATGCAGAAGTATATATCGGGGTTTGTGTCTTGACAATCAGAACGTTCAACAAGCTCCGTTCCTGAGGGATAAATAATAAGGGAGAACCATTTGAATCAAGAAAACAATTCTAAGAATAAAAAAAACAACAACAGAAAAGAAATAAAGAACAGAGTTAGTTAAATAATCACACGACTCATCGGGTCAAAAAAAGAAAAAAACTGGAACTAGAAACTGTGTTTATTTTGTTGAGTTGGACGACGAAAGTTTGTTTTTATGGACCAATTGAAGTGTTTGGTTATAAAATCGGGAAGTTAAACAACTCTGTAGAATCTAACTTATCGAGTTCCTAGCTGCTCGTGCTTACAGTGACAGACTACTCAACAATTAAACGCCATTTTATTCATCGTCTTGGCTACGTTCTAAACAGGTAAAAGTAAAGTGAGCAGAAAAGACTATGAGTAGATGGACTAAAGCCTTACGTTTATCTAGTGCTCGGAGAAATCTTTCTGCAGCAGAATTCCCCTTCAGATCCCGCCTTACGAGAGACATTCCCATGCCACTGGAAACTAAGCACAGCAAGAGAAGAATTGTCACGGTCATTTTGAAATCCGCCATCTTCTAGCAATTCTGTTAAATGAATAGAGAAAGTATTAAGACAAAGAGTCTTCGGAAAATCATCGTGAGAAAAAATAATTGCAGCCTATGGAACAAGATGATAAGTTAGACTCAAGTCAATAGCTCTATCACATTCACGTATATATTCAAGTACAATGTGGAATAGATAACCACAAGTAGTTTTTTTCAAAGGCCAAAACTAAAGGCCTACGTTCCCGGCGAGTGAAATTTTAGTCTATAAATTTACGAGCGCTTATCTATTTTAAATTAAAAAAGAGGAAGTCATCTTGTTTTTTGTTCATAATAAACATGAAAAGTTTTGAGAGAGCCTTTCATAATTAATTATAAGTAGAAGCCAGGCGTGCCAATCACATATAAAACTGAATTTTCGAACCCTGCGAAAGTCCTTCTGCGTTCGATCAAAATAACTACTCTTCCTCTTTTCTTTTTTTTTTTTTTTTGCCTCTTCATTTCTTTAATAAGATTGTAAGCCCGTGGGTTCAAAGCCCGGCCGAGTGGTTGATATCCTTTTATTTTGCAATGAATCACCACTTCTCTGCACTATCAGTCTAAGAATTGCATTTCTCCTAGCCAATCAGAATGAAAAATTTATTTTTATAGTGATCATTAGATAAGTAATAGTTATTTGTCAGCTATTATTTAATTCTCGCTGTCTCCGTTGTGGTTTTATTCCGAACAAATCATTTCATCGTCTCATTCATTATTTTATTCTATTACCTTGAATATGCGATCTATCCTTGCAAAACTACTCAGCCAATCGTGGAAAGATCGCTTTCACATCTGATTAATAATTCGGTTTGGTCCAGTTGTTATTAACTTTCCTTAAGAAATCATATCAAAGGTACACGCAGATACCAGTTTTGACCAAAAGAAAATGCTATGTTGATATGTCGGAGTTGCGTTATTGGAAAGAAGAATACCATTTTAAAAATTGATTTTCTGGGCAAATATACGCTTTCGGCAGTTATAAAAATTTCCATTGGTCAGGCGCAAACAGCTCCTTCCAAATAGGATTATGTTTCTTGATCTTTTTAGCCAGAAAAGAATTACAAGGCTTTTTGGCAATTTAAAAGTTTTACCACCGTGCAAAAAATAGAACAGAGCATTTTGGAGCTGCAAGACACTGTTACACCTTACAAGTAAATATTCATGTTTACGCATATCCCTAAAGGATGGTTGTACTGTCGTATCCATGGGTAAGCTACCATTCTTCTATTAAGAAGAAATCGGAGTTTTATCGTAGACATCGCACAAGAATGATACAAAAATTGTCACTTTCGTCAAAATCCCAAACCTTTCCCGAACTTAAAGCGATATAAATAGTATCAAGGACAAACTAAATTTCAGTGCAATTAATGTAAGTGAAATCAATTTTTGGCGAAAAATTTACTATGTGAGAACTTGGCATCTGTTTTTCCGAAATATATAATATTTGTGTCAAATGTAGAAGGAAGAAAAAAATTACCATAAAACACAGAATGCATGCAGTTGAAACTCCACCTTTTAGAAAAGAAAGAAACTGAAACAAGCCAGTGAGCTATGAAATCCCAAAATCATGCGAGTACTCCACTTCTTAATAGCAAAGAAACAATCAAGGGGCCAGGAATTTTTTACTATTGATAAAATTATGAACTTACCTACGAGTTGATAATAAAATTATTAACTTACCTGGGAGTTGTCTCTCGGAGAAAACTTGTCTTCCTCTGGCTGAAAGTCAAATGCTTATGTGAAAAATTAGAATGGTGACTTATCCTAAATATACATTTTGAATTATTAGCTCAATGTCGTGATTGGATGTGACCTCAACATATTAAAATGAATTAGCAATCATTTTTCAGTAGAACTAACAATAAATTTCTTTTTTCCTCTTCTTGTTTAATTAACACGTGATTGTTGGAGATATCAAAATCATTATAATTCCTCAAATAGGATGACAATATGGATTTATTGCGTTTAATAATTGATGAATTAATAAGCTTATCTCTGAGGCTTTGAAAATGATTTATAGTAGATTTGTTGAGATGGACTCGCACGGCACCGCAGCAATATTCCATTTCGCCAATTGCGATGATGTAGAGCTTTTTTAATTTATCGGGCGTGTATCTCTAACTCTACGATACTTGAGTCGTGTCTGTTCATTTTCGTGTTCTATTGTCATGTTAGAAGAACGATTTATGGCTTTAATGACGCTTTTGTTGAACCTTCACCCTTTAAACTGAGATGCTTTTTAAAGTTAAAAAATCTGAATATGAATTAAACACGTACTTAGCAATGCACAATTAATTTTCTGAAAGGACTTCCACGATGTGTAAACACATTTGCCGCGGTCCATTCAACTAAAAGTTGGCGTCAGACGAAGTCTCAATAAAAGGAAACTAATTATCCTTATTGTAGAACTTATTTCAGTAATTCGGCTAGCTATTGAGTGCAAAGTTACATTTTTATTATTTAGACTGTGCATGTTAATCAATTCACTTTATAGTTGCTCGACCTATGGCACTTAACTTTTCTACAGTTGAGTAGCTCTAAAAGTAAAATAGCTAAGAGCATTATGAGAATGGCCTAGTTGCTTCCCCGCAACACTTTTGAACTAACATATTAGCTTGATACTACCTTTTAAGCAAAATACATCTTCTAATTACTCGAAAGAAATTGTCCTAATCACTCAACCACCGCAAGAATCAACCCACCTCCAATTGCTGCTTACTTGAATAGTGATAAGGGGAAAAGTAATATATCTCGTGAAAAACTCATGAGGGCCGGTGTATTTTGGTGAATTTAAAGGGAAATTACGGTCGGAAAATAGACTTAAAATAAGTTTGGAAATGGGATGAAGAATGGAGCTTTTGGGTCAATTTGGCTGAAATCCTGCAGATCACTGAGTTAAACAGGATCTTCTTTTAAATTAAGATGTTCAAGCCCTGAATATTAAAGGCACAGCTGCATATAAATGACAAATACTACGTGGGCAAGAGCCAATTGGACAAAATGTTTTTTCTTACGCTCAATACTTCGAACACAGTTGGACATCGATTCACTTATATCATCCACCTTGTTTTGTAACGACAGGTAGTCGTTGCGACCACGCTAATGGTAGACCTAAGTTAATGAATTCTGTTCATGTGTGATAATAAAAGCAATTCCACCGTCGAAATTGAGGTTTACGATACTACGATGACGTGATATGCGGTTTAACACTCTCAGCCTTAACGCTTTCTATGCACGGAAGTTATTCACGGAGACAAGCTCACTCAATTGATTGAAAACCAGCTCCGGTGCCACTGGTAATCGAGCCTGCAGGGAACAAAAGATATCAGGAACGGCATACTTGAGCCAAAGTCGCCTAAAAGGCGGGTAATGGTGAATAAATGGTCGACAGAGTTCGTTTGGTTAAAAGTTTAAGGGCGCGTAACGGTGAAAGCTGGAAAACATAAATATTTTTAGTCTGAGGGTCAAAACCATAACGCGCAGTTCCGCATCAGCTGATGCTCAAGTTAATTTTAAAATAACAAGTTAAGTTATAAATAAATTGAAAGAAAGGAGGATAAACTTCATTTCTGTGGCCGATAATGCCGCTTGGAATTTTGTTTCAAAACATATCGTCAAGAGATGTGGAAAAGGAGGCGTGACAAGCAAGTCGTCAGTTTGTGGGGCAAGATTCAAAATGGCAGCGTTTGTAATCTAATTTTGCTAAAATGTCAAAACGCATTCATTTTTTTTATTTTTTAAAGGAATTTTTCAGTGGTCGGATAAATATTACTGTTCCTTTAAAACGTATTTGTAAAAAAAATTGATTTTAATAGATGCTAATTAAGTTTCAGCCGCAGTATTATGAGATTAGACTTAAGAAAGTACGTGTTATTTTGTGAATTTTCAACTTAGTAATACCTTATATTTGCAGCCGGAGACAAAGAAGTCATTGTAGGCGTCTTAAATTGAGGCAAATATCTGACTTGCAAGTTCTTGCCTCGAGTCACTCTTAGTAAGCGTCACGGATTGCTTTGCCTTATGGCCTAATCAATGATCTGTTGTGATTTGTTTCCAATAATTTGCAAGAAATGTCAATATAATAATTATCGTCTGTGTCCGAAGAAATCATTGGCGATGTGGATTGTGGCGTTTCAACTACACACCGTTACATAAGAGGTCGACTGATCATGTTTGATCTTATGAGGCACTAGCCTTCGTTGTAATTTATTTTATTACCAACAACTTTATTCACGCTTTTATCGGTATGTTTTCTATAATCGATGATATATTCCCTGTCACACGAGATGCATTGAAAAATTGAGATTAATTGAATTCAAAAGGAAAGTGTGAATAAAAAAAATTCCCTGCACACTCTTTCAAACTCCAATGATGTTAATCCCTGTTACCTCATTATCCAGAATTTCTCTCTAATTTCTCCCATTTTCGCTTGAAAAGGCCACTTCATCCTCAAGTAAACTCAGCTATCAATACAAACAGATTTCCATGAAATATGGATTTTTAGCTGAATTTAACATTTTTTACACAAGTTTCTGTCATCGATTAAGAGTTAGAAAACGTTGAACCCGCGCAAACGATTTCGAGCATAGGGCGGGTACCAAGCGCTTGACATAGATTTTATTAAAATCAAATTTGGCAGTCGTGAGACTGAATTACATGTTTTAAAACAATAATGGATAATCTATCTGCATACGATAAATATAATAATGAAATTTAAACTATCAAGTGGCCTTGGCTGCATGGTGCATAATAATGAGTGAGTTCTTTAATCTGTTAGTAATGATTAATGGCAACGAGTAAACTCTTTTATGCCTCCGTTCACGATTACATGGTCCACTTTTAACCGGTAATAGGTTTTCCAAAGTTTGTGTCTCTCGTTGACATATGTAGTCTCGATCTGATTAAATAGCATTTAACACTGAGTTTCTCTTCTCTCAAACAGAGTTCCAAGTTTTGCTTTAGCAGTTGCTTCTTTGTAATTGAGGTCTGGAAAAATTATCTTTAGCGCTAGACATAGACCGCTTTTCCATCTAGAGCTACCAAAACAGATTCGAATGACAGAAATTTAAGGACTATTTTGGAGCTGCTCAAATCTTTAGATAAGTCTCTCGCTTCGAAAAATTTTAATTTTGGTGTTGAGAATTTTCACACGAAAATTTAACGTAAGTCATCGCGGTTACAACATCATTTTTCATTTTCCCAGGGAATCTTTCATGTATTTAGTCCACCGCTATAATGTAGCAAAGCTTAATAGACTGCATCAGATATTTTGGAGTATAATCATCAAAGTTACTGGCAATAAAAATTTCCTAGATAAATTTTTGTGATAAGAATTCTCATTCTTACAGCAGAGATCCTGCCTCTTATCTTATGAATTCTGAAATTGCGATTCTTTTCGTAAGATTTGCAATTAAACATTCTCTCTAGAAGAACTTTCTACTTCATTGCCTTCTAGAAAGAATTTTCGTTCTTGAGAAAAGAATTCCCGATTCTTGTGGTAAGAGTTTCTGAAAAAGAGATTCTTCTCAAGATATTTAGGTGTGATGGATTCTTACTAGAAGAATTCTCTTCTATTCAGTCTTGTCTCAAGAACCTCGATTCTCCTTGCAACAATCACAATAAAATTATTCTTGTGATGAGAATTTTGGTTCTTAATCGGAGAAAATGCAATTTGGATAATTAACAGTGTGATGCATCCATTTTGAAATCACAGATGATCTTTCAATCTAATTGGCTTTCATCAGTGCGACTCATTCACGAATCGCACCATTTTTGCCCTAAACGCATCTCTCTCTCAGCGAATGAGAGGCCAGCACCTAAAATAAAACAACCAGTCAATCCTGAAGGCTTGTTTAAAGTAATCAATCAAATAGCAGGAAAATGAAAGACAAACCAGGTTAGTACTGAAGCAATGAAATGTTTGTGCAGACTAAAAGATCCTTTATTTGAGCGATTGCATTTTGCGATTTTAAAAGGGATACTATAAATTTGAAATTAAACTTCGTGTCGTACAATTTTGGTCTGATATTTCAATTCACGCACATGATTTCAGACCAAATTGCACTCCAGTTACTGCAATCACCCATATTAATCGAATCTGTTCCTTTTAATCGATGATATGTTCTCCTTTACTCCTTTGAAGAACCCAAGATAAGGCACGTGTTTTAAACCTTTTCCCACGGCCTCTCAATCGGGTTCGATAACGACAGGCCGCAGTTCTAGCGGATTAATTTTCCTGTGACAGTCCATTGGTACTCTGTTACATCGCGGTTCCAATTGCGGTTACTAACCGTGACATTCTAGGGAAAAATTGATGGTTGAACCTCGCTGGTGTAACGAACCATTCAGTGAAGTAAGAATTAGGAATGAGTTTTACCTCCAATGCAGTCTGGAGCTACATTTTCTTTTCAATAGGAAAAAAATTGAAATAAAGCAAAATGTAAATTCATAAAGTAAGGCACTGGACATTTGAGAGTCAGGATGTGAATGTAATTATCAAATATACAGACATTTGTGGTTATTGAGATTACAATTTTTTTCTTCATTTATGATCTTATCTCATCCTTGCTGATTACATGATTTCGCTAGTGGATTAAACTAGCCTACAGCCACCTTCATTGCAAAAAAAAGTTGAGTTAAAATTAAATGCGAAACAAACAAATTACATATCAATTCAACCTTTTCGGGAAATTTCGATAAAACAGCCACAATCGTCATAGCAAGAAACTTCTTATCAATTTAATATGAGTACAATGCGCCCAACAGTTTATTTATTTATTTTTTTTATACAGATGGTAATCATGCTACGATATCTGAGTAGAATTGCCAAACATCGCAACTATGAGAAAACGAAACATAAACATTTCTCAGCTGATTACCAGGATTGTTTTTTGGAAACCTAATTGTTGCTATGTCGCTGTTCGGAGAGGGAATTGTTTTTCAAGATATCAAGAGGCAAGCCCTCGTCTTTCCAAGACCTAGCGATACATGAAATGGTTGGAAGATTTGCTTTGCCCTTTCTGAAAATAAAGCAGTGATGAAAAGATGAGTAATTCCAAGGGTTGTTATATAATTGATACTGAGGATTGCGAAACAAACAAATTAGTCACATAGCTTGGCCATGTTTTATGGTTAACCAAACAAACTCAACTGAAGTGTCTACAAAAAAGATTAAGTTCCACTCAGACTTTCGTTTCTTTTCTTTTTTTTCCATATTTCGAGGGGTTATTTGGGACTACTAGAGAAGTTCCCGAACGTTTATTTCCTTGCAAATTTCACCTACCGACTCGGCTAATGTGGCCATGAAACTGATTCGAAATCATAGATGAAGCCATCTAAAGTCTGAAATCAAAAAGAAACATTTTAATGTCAGGTATAGAAAGCTTCATTGAAAAATGATTAAGTGAAAAGTGTAAATCCTTCTTATCTCACTTGATTTTATCATTAATCATTAATTATTTGAAATCGCTTTAATGTCATTACCGAGCAAACGCAAACTACGTTTACATTTAGCAGTTGTCCGCCTTCGAAAAGCAATTCTAGATCAATTGTCAAACATCAATTTTCTGGTCTTGTCATTTCATTGTAAGTTGAATAACAGTTATCATTAATTTGGTAGTGATAGCAAATTTAAGGCTAGCAGCTACTGTAGCAACAAAAACTTTGATTTCAAAGGAGATTTTTAAAGTTTACATTATTATCACATTTCTTTGCAGAATTATTTGCAATGAAGACAATCAACACGCTCCTGATCATATTCGTCCTGACCTGTTTAATCTCTCTGTCAAATCCTATGGCAATAGGAAAAGGTCATCAAAAAGAACTATCTTCCAGTACTTTTCTACGACAATTTTCCATTGGTAAGAGAAACAATAATGGACTCATTATTTTTAAGTATTCAATAGTGGGATTGGTGTTCCTTGTATAATTAAATTTTGCCTATCATTGCATAAAAATAACTTCATCTTCTGAATTTTACCCAGCTTCTTCTTACGAGTTTTGATACATAGAGCACTGTAGTCTAAGTTTCTTTGACTTTTCGTTGTGAAGCCTCAAGTTTATACTTTGCTGGCTCAGTTTCTCTCGCTTTGTAACATACTTCAGTAAAAAAGGTGGACAATTTTGTCATTTCTCTGCTTTTCAGATGATACCGAACAAAAACGATTACTGCCATGTGAAGACGTCGGAGACCCATATCACTGCTTTTATTTAGCTGTGGTTGAAGATAATTGCGATCAGCATGGTGGTAACCTGTGTAGTTATTCTTGCGGGCTGTGTTAAAAACAGGGTCAATATAAGTTTTCCCAAAATATGAGTGTTTTCAGCGGAAAACTGTTGACAGTCTCAACGCTTTGATGTTACTGGAGAAAGGGAAATAAAATAGAATTGTGAAAAAACCAATTTACATTGAGCTCACGAAGAATACGCTTTTACCGAAATCGGCGGTGGATTAAATCTCTTTTCGCAAAACGGTTTTCACCAGCCAATATGATGTTTATAGTCTGCGAAAAATGACAGAAGGACAACTTTTAAAAATGTACTAGGGTTGTCATAAGCTTATCAATTTGATAACCCCGTCAGGTTCTTTCATTGAAGACTTTGAAAATATACGCGTTGATTATTTTCCCTTTTCCTGTCGGCCATCTTACCAAAAAGGTAAAAAGCTTTGATAGCTGTATTATAGCTGATAGCTAACTGGGCTGAAAGGTTGGAAAGAGAAAGTATATGTATTGCAGATCAAACAGATCAAAATGATTGCATTGACTTCCTATATTAAATTCTCATTGTTCATCATCAGGCGCCCATAATGAAGGGGTTTTTTTTTGTTTTTTTTTAGTTTAGGAGTATTGACCACAGATAAAGGCGCCAAGCTGCGCGTTTGAGGATGCTCTTTTAAGCTTGTAGACGATTATTTTATTCGATTAAACCTACAGGAAAAATAATTGATATTCCCCGATCATTCTTGAAATAGCCGTACCTCCATGTTTTCAAGTATTTATGAAGTTTGGTTGGAATTTTATCGTCAAGTGACATAAAGATTTTGACGATTTGTGCTTGTCAGCAATGTGGTTCTTTAGGGAACATTTTTCGAGAATTGCTTCTATTTTAATTAGCAGACGATATGCTATGATAATTATTTTCTAACATAGTCTTTTCAGCTTTTCTTTAATCTTGTTATCCATGGAGCAATAAAAGGGGGTGGAAATTAGTAAAAAGAGTTTATTTTTCAGCGTTTAAGTTGGCAATTTATTAACGTTTAGTATCTACGAGAATATGGAAAGTAGTGTGCTAAAAAATTTTAAGTTGTCGTGAGATAGACATACGAATCTCGGAAGTGTTCATGGCAATAATGCATTTTTCATACAAAGAGAAAATGGACAAATGGTTCACCAATAGCTATAACGCATGATTCAGTTTTGTTATTGCGGAAGTATTGAGCAGATCATAGCACTCCTAAAAGGAAAGTAAAAAGTACTTTCTCACTTTTGTTCATTTTATTTAACGGAGTCTAAAACTTACATTTTGTCGCTGTTAATTACTAATGAACAAAAAGAAGAGCATTTGAATTTCGGATAATTTAGCTCAATTATTAAAACGAGTTTTGGAAACACATTCTGAGTTCCACTTTCGTATGGTTCCACTGCTACAAAGGCTTCAATATACATGAAATAGACAACTCTTTACAGACAGCATCGGGCCTGCAATGTAAAAAGATAAAAAATAAACTTAGAATTAAGAAAGATCTCATTAACCATTATTAAAGAGCACGTTTGCTTTCGAAAAAAAAGAAGGAACGAGAACGTAGCATTGGTATCTTTCCTTGGTTGTATGAAATTGATGTGCATGTTGAGATGCAAACCTGGTTTTGCATTCAAAATTATCGACCTCGCCTACTGAAGGGGGCTCTTTAGAAATTGGTCAGATAACCAGCGCATCTAAATGTTAACACTGAAAATTACACTAAGTAAATGGCCCAAAATTCATATCTGCTCGAACAGTCATATAAAATAATAGTTACACATAGTCATACATATTAAAGAGTACACTTGTCAAACCATCAGAAAGCGTTTAAAATTTTATACCTAGCAAAATCCGCACATTCTTCTGCAATTCTGTTTCATGATTCCTGGTTGATAAAGGCAGGATTCCTCGTAATATACTTCTAGCTGGCAATAAATTTCGCCTGCAGCATTTCTACATAAAGGAGCTCTCTTCTCTTCATGAGGAACAGCTGAAATGAACCATAAAAAAGTGATCTCAAAGTGATCTCACATCCTTAAATATCAAAATCTGGATGGAGCTGAATTTTGTTTTGATGGTTTTTACTAGGAAATGCACATCAATTTTACTGGAACAAGCGCACTTGTACACCAGAATAAAAATATACTTAAAGACTCTCGTTGCTTATGGAAAATTAAGACTCCTCCGCACAAAGTGGGCATAGTTTGAAGGTTCGAAATTATTCCTACGCCGGCAGAGAAATATCTCCACATTAATCATCGATGTATTTTTGGCGGTATTAGACCCCTTTAAAACCTGACCGTAAAGATATATACTGGAGTTTCTGCTGTTTTTGACTGTCGCGATTTTAAATTTTTCTGAAGCAGTGTGGAAGGAAAATATCTATAATCTGTTTTCTGTTGTAAACACAAAACTTCTTTGCGTTTTGAAAGTAAAAAACGCTGCATTTTAATCTACTTGGCGTAAATTTTTAAGAGGCCTAGGTATGGCTCATTATGATTCTGCCTACAGAATTACCCACTCCATTTATTTTCATCATAACGATTTCATAATCAAACCACAAGAAAATAAAATGAAAGCAAAGTAAGGAGGAGGGGGCGTATACAAAGCGCAAAAACGACTACAACGAGAACGTGGTGAAACAAAAGACTAAAACAACGTGTCTAGCGTTATACACATCATAGCCACTAAATGCAAAACAATGTTGTGAAATAATTTTTAAATTTCGTGTATCGTGAGAGAGAAGCTGGAGGTCCGAAGGTAAATTTTATTCTCGATTCACACTGTCGTTAAATATTACAATAAAGAAAACATCTTGGCCTCTTGGGGAGTATTGACGATTTCAAACCTTCGAAAATTTGAAAATTCCTAAGGCAAATGGAAGTTATATCGTTATTGACGTTTTCTTAAGCGTCACCATAATGAGTGTTTTTACTCCAGCCAATCATTGTTGCTTTTAAAAGAAGAAAAAAGCCAGAAGTGTTTTGAAAACGGTAAGGTTATCTATATCTTCCTGAGTAAGTTGCACGATTTTACTCATAAGTTTGTTTGTTCCCGAGTTTTTTACTTTTTTTCATCGCAATTAAACATTTATTACCTCCTTGCATTTCGAGTTGGTTTATTTACTTTAGATGTGTGGGTTCATCTTATATGAGGCAATCATTTTATGAGAATGTTTACTTAGTTTAGTGTAGAAATAACTGTGAGGTGTAACTCACTATCTTTATATACAAACACAAGAGCCTTTAAGTACGAACCTAAAGAATACACTTCACCATATGCATATTGCTTATTTGTGGTCTTTTGCTTTAGTCGAGTTCGTGAGCCAAATGGAATTTCCTATGAACTCATTAGTGTTATCAATTGCGGGGATTTTGAAAGGCGGTGAAGGAATGAGATTGTAAGAGATAGACATGACGCAGAAACGAAGTCTCCATAAATTTCTTTCCTTATTTCGGCAGTTTGAATTTTACCATCTGGCGTATTGACATAAAAAAGGGTTTTGAAATATGAATAATTAAAACCCCAAAACGAATATTACAAGTCAAAAGAAGGATCGTTAATCAATAGAAATCGATTGTTATTAGAAGAAATTCTTCACATTTAGGCACAAAGGCTCGACATTTCTTAGGATTCGAGAATTTTATTTGCAGATCTGTCCGCTTCAAGCTGTGCTCTTGTAGAATGATGTTTCTAATACTGGAATCTTCTTGCCCACCCGCGAGCGAATGATGGTAACGGCATCGACGGGGATAAAAAGCGCTAGTGAACAAAGCCACAATCTTGTTCATAAACGAGGGCGATTGTTAATCGCAATTGACGTTGGAGGTATAAAATGATGCCTACAACCATTGTTCAGGGACGAGAAAAAAATTGCTTCCTCGCTCAAGAGTAAGCTATATCCATAATTAATTACAAACAGGACCCATTAGACAGATGCTTTAGTTAATAGCATCAAGTTAACAAATATCTTTGAACTTTATGCTAATTTTTGAGCCAACTCAAGGAGAACAATTTAAATTCTAACTTTCTCATATCTTATTCACAAACAGTCTATCATATTATTTGTAAAATAGGATCTATGCATTTCATGTCGTCAGGTGTTTTGCAGGACGTTCTAAGTACGAGTGAAAATAAGATAGATCATTGACTCTTTGTACGCGAGGTTCATGGGTGGTATGTAGCCGAATCTAGAATGGTAGAAAGTTATCGATAATATATGCATATTCTTTCAAACTCTGTAATTAACATAAGGTAGGGAAAATATGTAAGCATTTTTACAGAAATAAAAAAGAGTAGTGAAACCTGGCAAAATAAACTACTAGATTAAACAATGTCCTATTCTTCATAGCTGAATTCAATAATTCTATTTATTATCTTTAAGAAGTGACTTTTGAAATGTGCTACTTGGGCCAAGGGACGATGCAAACCAAACTTTATTTCTGTAGGTTGCTTCAAGATTGGTTCAACTCTTGTACATGGCTGCATTTATTATGACATTCTCTCAATCAGCTAGTAGATGATAAATATTGTCCTACCTTTGTCGTAATGACCGGATTTTCCAAGCTCTCTGGTAAAGTCTTCTCTTGGAAATGGCACAGCCACAATCAAAGAAACCAGTGTTGTTAACGTAAGGCACGCAAGGAACTTCATTATGAACTAGATATCGCTGTAAATAATTTAAATATCGTGACGTTATTTTTTACTTGGGTATGAACACAGCTTGTGTTAAAAAAGTCATCATTTAGGGTAGCGAAGCAGGCTCTTTCTAGGTATTTAAGCAATAAAACAAGGTGACAAAATTTATTACGCTGGCCGTACTCCGATTCAATCGGCGTAACATATGGCAGTCCTTTTCATTGTCCAACACGCGATCTGAAATTGAACTCCCTATCTGGGAAGCCATTAGGAGCCTAGATATTTAAAAATAAACCGTTCAAAATGTGACTTTGAAAAGAAAAATTTCTCGAAACCTGATTTTCAGTTAAAGACAAATCACTTTTGAAATGTCCTGCCATCTAGGAAAATCAACAAACAAA